TTAGAGACAGGGTTTCTCTGTGTAGCTTTGCACCTTTCCTGGAACTCACTTTGGAGACCAGGCTGGCCTCAAACTCACAGAGATCCGCCTGACTCTGCCTCCCGAGTGCTGGGATTAAAGGCGTGCACCACCACTGCCCAGCCAAGAAAATACCTTTTCAAATGCTGAAAATGAGTTTAAAATAATTTTCTTGATTCCATTTTGCTCAGATTCAAAATTGCATTCTCAACTGAAATACTGTTTAGGAGCTTTCAAGGATTTTGTTGGGGAGTGTATATGTACACACTGATGTGCAAGTGTGTGTGTGCATGCACATGTGTGCATGCACATGTGTGCATGCATGTGTGTTCATGGAGAGGCTAAAGGACAGGGAGTGTCCTCCTCTACTGCTCCTCACCTAATTTTTTGAGACAGGGTCTTTCTCTGGACTAGTGGCTCACCACTTTGGCGAGGCTGGCTGGCCACAAAGCTCCTGGCACCCACTGTCTTTGTCTCCCAGTGCTGGGGTTGCAGGCACTCATAGCTGTGCCCAGGTTTCATAAGTGAGTCACACTCAGGTTCTCCTGATTGCGTAGCAAGTGCTCTCACCCACTGAGCCCTGACCCCATCCCCGGCTTCTAATCATTTTTTCACAATGAAGACGTCTGAGGATTTCTTGTGGTTTCTAGTATAATATTTTCCCCCATCATTCTCCCTCCTCTGTAATAATCCATCCCCTGTCTTATCCAGAAGAGTAGGCAATCAGTAGCTGTGGCCAATCAGAAACTCCTGTTCTCTGCTCTGAGTGATTGTGGAGATACACATGTGACATGCGACACTGACAATGCCAGTCGCAATCCTTCTGGGACCAAGAGCTTGATATTAGGAAGGGGAAATTCTTTCACTGGACTCGCTGAGCTAAAAACAAAAGTAACACTGCTACATGACATCTTCTCTATCACAAGAAGCAGCCCTCCTGTAGAACACAGCTCAACCAGCAGGAGATTTATGAGCAGAATAGATGGATGGATGGATGGATGGATGGATGGATGGATGGATGGATGGATGGATGGATGGATGGATGGATGGATGGATACATGCACGGGTGAATGGAAGGAGGAGGAGAGGAGGAAAAGTGAATATGAGTGGACCACAGAAGCCACCAGGACCAATCCTCAACTATAAGGACCTGGTGTTTGTTGTTATATTTTTACGCTGTGAGCAATCACCATGTTCTAACTAAATGGACTTGTTTTTAGTAAGTCCTACTCAGGTAAGTTTCTATCACTGGAAATCCAGCACCTCCTATGATAACTGCTGTTTATAACTATCCTACATTTCCCTGAAGTTTACTCACTGAGTTCATTAGGAGAGGTTTACAGCTGCTATGCAATGGCATGGATTGAGGTCTCCAAGCAAGCTGAAAATGATTATCAATTAGGAGGGAATAAGCTTATACATTATTGAAAATATATGCAATTCCCAGATCAATCAACCCATGCTAAGGGCGCCAGGTGCACCTTGCAATGCCTAGAAACCTGGAACTTAGGAGAAATCACTAGACACTTGCATTAGATAACCCCTGTTAATCCTACACACCAATTATTCTGTTCTTATAAAGCCCGTGTTTGAACATAACCAGCACACAGCAAAGTGTTTGCAGAAGGTAGCAGGGGTCTTTGGATGGGTGAGTTCAAGTTCACAGAACACGTGAGTCTAGAGAGTGAGTTTATTTCCAGATTCTAGAGATAAGAGAGCTTATACATTTTAATATGTTCTCAAAGAACTCACAATTCAACTTGCAAACATTATTTAGAAGTGATCTTGTCATACTCCCCAAATGTCTGACAATCAGACTCCTTGCAAGGAATGTATTTCAGAAGACTGTGTGTACACAGAAGAGCAAATTCAGATTCACTCTTTGACCCTGCCTATGGCCCCCACTGACACCAGCAAAGAAAGAGCCCGACGCTTTCATCAGTGTGTGCCAGCCGCTGGGGATGTCCGTCACCATTCCCACAAGTCGGTGAACAGCAGGTTCATCTGACCCTTCTCTATTGAGTGCTCTCCACTCATCCCTGGCGGGTACAGCTTCACTAGCAGCTCCTTGGTAACTGTGGCGTTTCTACCTTTGATTAAAATGTCAAATGCAATTCTTTTAATTCATCTTGGATGGCTGTCACAGCAGAGCTCAGTAATGAGGACCCGTGACAGAGATTAGTTGCATGCTATAACACTGTACTCAAGTTGTCTGTCAGGCAACAGAGCCCTTTTTCTCTTCTCGGTTATCAGGCTGGTAAATACTGCCAAGGAAACTCTTACTGTGTCTCTGTTACAGGCTTTGGCTAGATTGATTCCCACTGAAAAGCATGAAAAATGTTTGTATCCACCCTACATCCCTAGTAAGAACAGCAATAAGATACCTTGATTTTAAAGAGAACTTTCATTCCCAGTAATGGTATGTGACCCATTAGCTGACCCAACCAACCATATGAACACAATCAAAAGCTCCCAATGAAAACCCTTCATCACCCTAAAAGCATTAAAAAGCTGTCAAGACAGTAAAGCAATTACCAGAGCAAAACCCAAGAAAGCCCAGAACCAGAGGAGGAGGCAAAGTACTGGAACATCACAGCCATCTGTACCCTCGGGGCACTTGCTAATCCAGAAACACACACACACACACACACACACACACACACACACACACACACACACACACACACACACGAGCAGGGAATAAAAATAAACCTTTAAAAAAAAAAGACAGATTGCTTCTAAAGGGCCAGTAAAAAACAACAACAAGAAGACAAAAAAGCCTGTCATTCTTACAATTTTATAAGCAGCAACATGTCTTTTAAGAACAAGGGCAAATTAAAGGCAGCCTGAAGCAGCAGACCGAGGAAGTCTCACCCTTGCAGCCTCTCACTAAAGGGAAGTGCACCCGAAGGAAAGTGATCTCAAATGAAAAGGCCATGATGGGAAAAGAAGTATCGGGGAGAGGCTGCTATGTGAAGGGCTTTACGTGGACATGCATTCCATCGTGCACGGAAGATTCTCAGTTCTCTGAGGTGTCTCTTAGTTCTCACCCCAGCACAGAGGGAGTGTGAAAAGCAGCAGACAGTGCAGAGAGAGGCGTGTTGGTGTGCGCAGCTCCCATTTTTTTCGGCCTCCAGACTGACCATCTCCAGGAACCTCTTCCAGGCTTTTTAGATGATCTCTGTGAGACCACGGCCCTGCTGCCTACAGTGGGAGCCAAGTTACAGCACACTGTTAAACTGGTTTGATTTCCTTCCCCATCTCACCCTTTCAGTCTTGTTCCTGGATTATTAACCAAAAATCAAATACCAACAATCAGGCTCTAGACTCGGCCCCTATCTCTGGGGGAGTCCAAGAGAAGAGAGGAAGGAGGTCTGCTCTATCAGACGTGGACGCATAATGCAAAGCCATGTCTGGGTCAAGAGGTCAGTAAGCTAAGTCTAACACACTTACTCATGTCTGAAAGTCAGGAAACTAGCAGGAGCTACAAGGGACAGAGGAGGACTGAAATAGCATTACTGCCTGTCTTGACTGAAATAGCATTACTGCCTGTCTTAGGGTTTCCGGTGCTGTGATGAAACACCATGAGCAAAAGCAACTCGGAGAGGAAGGGGTTTATTTCATCTTACGGTTTAACATCACAGTCCATCCCTGAGGAGAGTCAGGGCGGGACCCTGGAGGCAGAAACTGAAGCAGAGGCCATGGACGAATGCTGCTTACTAGCTTGCTCCCCATAGCTTGCTCAGTCTGCTTTCTTATAGAACCCTAGACTACCTGCCCATTGGTGGCACCACCCACAATTGTCTGTCGTCCACCCTCCCTCCTCACTAGTCACTAATTAAGAAAATTTCCCTACAGGCTTTTCTATAGGCTAATTATGCAGGCATTTTCTCAGTTATGGCTCCTTCTCCTCAGATAACTAGCTCTCGCTGTGTCAAGTTGATGAAAAGCCAACCAGGACACTACCTAAATAAGATCTGGACAACGACGCTAATAGACATGCTAACACAACGGGGAAACCTCAGGGGTCCTCACCCTAGACAGAGAGCTGTGGGCAAATGAGGGCTGATGAGAGAGGAAGAATCAATCTTCCCCAGGAATGAGCCCTCTAACTGGTTAGCCAATACCAGTGGTCAGCCCTGAAAACATATAGATATAAGCAGTACTGAGCAGACGCAGCAGTTTGCATTTATATATCTATATCTATATCATCTATATCTATCTATAATTATTTAAAAGGGGGCCATGGGCTTGAGAGGGAGAGAAAGAGGGGACATGAGAGTGATCAGAGGGAGGAGGAGAGAGGAAATTATCATAATTATATTTTAATTTTAAAAAAATTGCAAGAGCTGGATAGCTGGCCCAGTGGTTAAAATCAGGTATTTCTCTTGCAGAAAATAAAAGCTCATTTCTCAGCACCCACACTGGGGGGGGGGCCTCAAAACCACCTGTAACTCCAGCTCTAGGGGACCTAATGCTCTCTTCTGGTCTCTGTTGGCATCTACACACATATATAAATGAAAATAAAATTTTAAAACTGCAAAAGAAAACTGGCATTGATGCCAACTAGAACTTAAAGGGCTGTTTTCTTAGCCAAAATGGGGTACCTCAAATATATACCAATTCATAGATTTATAATGAAACTAAGCTTATAAGTATGTGTAAGAGAGACATTTCATAGAAGCAACATAGCAAATGAGAAAAAAAGTCATTCTATATAGAAACATTCTAATTGAGAATGCCAACTGGGCACTGACTGTATCTAAAAGCATCACAATGCACTCTGCTGGACTGATGTAAGCTCCTATGCCAGAATCATTAGATGAAATCATGAAGAAAATATTTCAATTAATTACCAGCAGGCTAGCAACACTTTAACCCTATAGTTGATCTTAATTTCATTAACAATATGTGAGCAGATAGGAAGAAAACACTTCAGAGTATTCTTCTGAAAAAGAAAAAAAAAAGACAAACTTGAAACTCGAGAGTGCCTTTAGATCCCAGTTTACAGAAAACACAGAGAAGTGTTAGGTTGTCATCACATCAAAGGCAAAAACCAATGAAAATTTGGTTATGGAAACTCAATGGGACAATTAATACAACTACAACTTAAAACTATACTGAAAAAAAAGCACACTTCAATGAAGAGCCAGTAGCTATGAGAGATAACTCATTTGACAAATGGATCATCTTTTGTACAGAGCTTTGCAGAGACTCGGCCGTTAAAGTGTGAGTCAAAGCCTGAGATGCAGTGACTGACATGTGATGGTACCAAGGAATGACTGAACATTTTAGGTGTGTGTGTGTGTGTGTGTGTGTGTGTGTGTGTGTGTGTGTGTGTGTGTGAAGGCAGAAGCCAATGTCAGTGGTGTTGTTCTCAGTTATTCTCCATCTTGTTTTTGGAGACAAGGTTTTCAATTCCTACCTTACACCATGCATGTAACTCCTGGTAGGAAGAATTCTAAAGTGGAAAGGTCACACAGGAACAGTTTAGAAGGTGACCTGGAAGGAGGCCTCACTAAGGGAGAGAGGGTGTCTTGAACAGAAGCACTGCCACAAAGGAAAGACAGCTTTATGGCTTTTGATTTGGAATTACTGTTTAAATCACATCTTATCAAAGACTCTACATAAAAGATGAGAAATCAAGCTTCCTCAAACAGGTGTTTACAACATATAACCACACAACCTCAGGTCTAGAATGCTTACAGAGCTCCCATAAAACAGCATTCTAAAAGTACGCCCAATAGGGAAGAAAAACAAAAACAAAAAACAAAACAAGCAAAAGGCCAATCCAAATGGCCAATAAATATATAAAACATGGTCAACTTTATGGATCACCAGGAAAACACCACTACAATTAAAGTATGCCATTACATATCTACTAGGTCACCAAAATATGAGTCTGACGATTTAAAAACACAATCAGAAAACTGCAACTAAAATCACAAGGTAGTATGTTTCTGAAAGATGGGCAAAATTTGAGTCTGATAATTGTGAATACTGACCCCTTTGCAGAGAAAACTACGAAATACTTGATGATGGGGCTATACCAGAAAAGAACCACATCCAAAACTAGCTTTTCATTACCTAATAAACTTAAGGATACCTATACCTGACCTATGACCTAGGAATTTTGCCCTGGGCCATAGTCTTGAGAAATGTACATGCTACAGACACGGAACAAGCCTGCCCACAGCAGCACTCTTTTTGATAGTGATGTGCTAGAAACAACCTGTACCTTCATGACAACACACAGAACACGGTGCTGTGCTCCTGTGACACATTCATCAACAGAGATGATGCAGCTCACCAACAAATGCAGGAATTTTACACGAAGTTGAGAAACAAAAGAATCAACCAAAAATATTCATACACACGGTAATTCAGTTTACATAATGCTCAAATGGAGGGAAAATGGGATCCCGTTTTCAGGAATGCCTACAAAAGAGTAAAACTATAAAAGCAGTCAACAATGACAGTCAGATGAGTCAGGAGAGCAATGATCTCTGAGGTGAGGGAAGGAGAGGAAACCATTTCTGGAATATCAGGTTGGAGAGAGAGTTGTGACCATGTTGGCTGTGGTCGTTTGAATGAGAGTGGCCTCCATAGGCTCATATGTTTGAATATTTTTTCCTTAGTTGGTGGATCTGTTTGGGAAGGATTAGAAGGTGTGGCCTTGATGGAAGAAGTGTGTCACGGAGCGGGAGGGCAGGCTTTGAGGTTTTCAAGACTTGTTGATTCCCAGTTAGTTCTCTCTGCCTTTGCTGGTGAGATGTGAACTTGCAGCTGCTCCTCCAGCTGGCTGCCACCATGGCTACACTCTGTCACTGTGGACTCTAACCACGGAAACTGTAAACACAATTAAACACTTTCTTTTGTAAGTTGCTTCAGTTATGGTGTTTTATCGCCTTGATAAAAAGGTAACTAATGCAATTGTCAAGAGCACTTCCTGCTCTTCCAGAGGACCTGGGTCTGGGTCCTGTAATCCACAGCAGGCAGCTCACAACCACCTGCAACTCCAGCTCTGGGGGAAACAATGCCTCCATGGGCACCACATCACAGGGTGCACATAAAAATAACTAAATTGTTTTAAAAAAAACATATTTGTGGGATAGTACCAATTTAATCTTGGCCCAGGTGAAGGTTGTACCTCTGAGCCCTTTATGATTGTTCTCAAGTTATACATATACATGTATGTCTACATACAGGTCTCTGTATGTATATGTATCATTGTATGCTTCATATGCTTACATGGATGTTGTATTTCACAACTGAAGTTCCAAAGAGAATTCATTTTAAAAATTAAATCTTGGGGGTTAGAGAGATAGCTCAGAGGTTAAGAGCTCTGGCTGCTCTCCCAGAGGTCCTGAGTTCAGCTCCCAGCAACCATATGGTGGCTCACAACCTTCCATAATGAGATTTGGTGCCCCCTTCTGGCCTGCAGGTAGACATACATGCAGGACACTGTATACATAATAAATAAATAAATCTTTTTAAAAAATTAAATCTTTCTCAAAACTTAGAACACATTTTTAAAATTATGTAACTTAACTTGTCCAAGGTGGCCTTACTTCAAGAGTCCCTATTCCTACCTCAGATGTTGATTCGTTAGGTCTATAGTAGGTACCTGGTAGAACTATTTCAAGTAGCTGTGCTGGTTTAGGAAGGACTGGAGTCCAGACTCCATGAGCAGGTAAGTGTTTTCCCCGAGAACACACAGAGACAGAACTGCACCAGATTAAAGTTGCCCCATACCCGGGCCAGGGCAAAGGCTTACAAATTAAATGAGGCAGTGGGTACCATTGACAGGTTCCTGTAAGTCTCCTCTTAAATGAGACTTGATATCCATAGATTAGTGCTGACTGTTAATTTGATCTGTGCTAACCCTGAGAATTCTCCTCTCCAGTCTTCTGCTGTTAACCCTTCAATCCCTCTACTAAGTCCTAAGAATAACATACAACAGTTCCTAGAAATGATAGGGAACTGGCTGGGACACACAAACTGACCCCATTTTAAGTCTGTGACGTTCCAGGTTGCCATCAAACAAGTTCACAGCTACACGTACACTCACCGATGTACCACTCTCCAAAGTGAGAGTCCATAATATGTAAACTGAGTGGGGATCTCGTTTGTTCGTGACGGATAACTACCAGCCTACCCTACTGTTCTGTATTAATCGCCCTACCCAAACAGAAGTCCCACTACCCACATTTGAATTTCACCTCAGATCAAAACAAAACAAAACTCTGTGAATGGTGACCTCTGGAGGTCCTGGTTACATTTAAAGACTCATTGTTAAAGGTCAATGTCCTTTGCTGCAAATACAGTTCCTACGCAGATGAGAAGCTGAACCTGCCCCATGGCGCTGAGCATAATTAGCCAGCTGCACCCTCATAATAAAGTGCAGATGGTTAATTGCACCAGCAAATGACTGCTTACTTGTGGGCACAAAAGCCTGTACCTAAAAGCATCGATAGTATACTTGGGCATAGTAATGCTCAGGATAACAAAACACATTTCCAAAATTTCATCTGTGACTAGACCTTGGCAGGTTCCAACTGCACAGCTCTGTGGTTCACACGGCTAAGGTCAAGTTCAAGGGAGGGACCAATGGCCACAGAGCACCATCTCAAACTGCTGAATCTTTTCTGAAAAATCCCCTGATTTATTGTGATAGTACTCAGTAAATAAGGTAAGGAATTAATCACGTGCTCCTGAGGTGTAATGTTATCACTGAAGACTCAGTCAACTGAGTTAATCTGTCAAGGACCAAAACAGTGGGTCAAAAACAAATGAAAACCAACTTTCTTCATTTCAAAATAATTTGTGCCAGGCATTTGTTATAATAATGTAAAGTGATACACCATGCAATGAAAGCTATCTATCTATCTATCTATCTATCTATCTATCTATCTATCTATCTATCTATCTATCTATCTAACATCTATCTATTTATCTATCTACTATCTTCTATTTATCTACTATCTATCTACTATCTATCTATCTATCTATCTATCTATCTATCTATCTATCTATCTATCTATGCAAAAACACATCCATATTAGTTTTCTGAGTAAGAAAAACGGGGTGGCTTTTCCCATACCCCTGAGAACTTTGGTGTACTAGCCGAGTTCCTAGAGTTTAGCTGTCATAGATACAAGCCCCCAATGGTTTTAAGACATTCTTCCAAAGATCCCACTTTAAAATATATCTATTAATCCATGCATGGCAGGAATAAGATTTGAGGAGAAAGCAGAGGAGGGGTAATCCATGTTTATTTGGAAGCCCTCTGCCAGCTGCAAGGCTCTAGGCTTTGTAAGAGGTCAAGATGTCAGGCTTGGGGCAGAACACTAATCTTGTGCCTATGAAGACTCTTCTCAAGAAGCCCTGGGTGATGCGATTCTATTCAGTGTAATTGTATGTTAGGGGGAAGAAGAAGCGGCTTGCATTGGTTTTAATTATCAAGGACACACTAGCTTTTTCAGAACCATCTGTCTAATTGTGATTACAAATAGCGATATAAAAACACAAGTGATTACCAACAGCAAGTTCCCTGCCACCAACAGTTTTAACACAACAAGCCGCATTGTGGAAGAGTGTGGCGCCCCTTTCCTCTCTGCAATATTTCATGGTTTAGCAACTGACAGCCTACGATTTATTACAGAACCTCACTCCGAAAGAGCTCAAATTATTAATTAGTGTTCTTCGATTACATCCTCCGGTTATTCCTTTTTATTAAAGCTGAATTCCCTGAGAGTAAAGGGGATTATATAAGAAATGAAGCAGGCAGAGTTCTTTCTTTCCACTTCCCACCAAATCTTGGCGGCTTCCCATGATACACATCACCTATAATTAACTACCAGGCACATTCTATAGTGTTGTGAGACTCGTCTTTGGCATCCATGAACGTCAATTTCTGCATTCCTGGTATTGGTTTTCACGCTTGGCATGCTGTCATTTTAAAAGTGTGAGTGTTGGGAATTGTTCTCAGGCATGAATAAGAACAGCTTAACCTTGAAATTTAGACATTCTTCTGTGCCACTGCTACAAATTTGGGTTATTTGATTATTATTATTATTATTATTATTATTATTATTATTATTATTATTTATGAGCAGCAGCAACGTCATGGCACCGAACATGAAATCAGGCAAAGATGCTCAACTTTGGCTTAGGATGCCAGATTAAGTAAATAAAACCAAGATGCAGACACAGTCAGATCGCCACTCTGTCTTCCACCTAGGACATTTTAGATAGCTTATTAAAACCATTTTCTTTTCTTTTTTTTTTTTTTTTTTTTTTTTTTTTTTTGTTTGGTTTTTCGAGACAGGGTTTCTTGTGTAGCTTTGCGCCTTTCCTGGAACTCACTTGGTAGCCCAGGCTGGCCTTGAACTCAAAGAGATCTGCCTGCCTCTGCCTCCCGAGTGCTGGGATTAAAGGCATGTGCCACCACCGCCCGGCTTAAAACCATTTTCAATGAAAAATATTGGGGTTTATGAACTGCCAGTGAAGTTGTGAGAGGTTATTTTATTTTATTCTTCTCTCATATATTACATCCTGACTGAAGTTTCTCTTCCCTCCTCTCCTCTGAGTCTCCCCCCTCCCCCCTCCCCCTCTCCCCCCCCCCACCCCAGAGAGATTTCTTCAGCCTTTTCACACAATTTTTTTTTCCCTACACTCAACACAGTGGACCTTTTGGTAATTGATTTAAAATGAAGACCACCATGTTAACAATGTCATGCACTTCCCCACAAGCTTTTTCATCAAGGACAGAACACTTAAAAGTCCACTTTCCTTCCCCACTACTCAAGGGATAAACATGAGCCTTAAAAAAAAGAAAAAAAGAAAAGAAAATCAAAGGACTGAAGGCACTTAAATCCTCAAAGAAATGAAAAGGCTATGTGGTTTTGAAATTAAACTGGCGGCATTCTGCACTGGATCAATTCCTCACTTCTCCTCCTCTACGCCAGCCGAGATCCTTCCAGCCATGTGCCTACAATTTATTTCTGCCTCGTTTCAAGCCCCATCCCTATGAACAGTTGAATGCTAAGTGCTTCTGCAGTATTAATGAGGAAGCAGATCTTAGGCTCATTTGAGAGGAAGAGTTTGCTCCTAGGAAAGGGCTATCTATCATTTCTTCACTTTTAATGATGGTGACGTGGTTAATGGGGTGGATTATGGCCCACTGCATTCAAAAATAGGCGAAGCTGTGACCTTTAACCTCTGTGGTCCAAGTCCCAGTGGGAATCTGATGAAGAAGGCCACAGACACTAACCCTCTTAATGATGCTTGTGGAGCTAGAATCCACATACCCAGAGTAAAGGATGACTAAGCAACCCCAAATGTGGACCAATTTAAACATCCCTTCAAAAGCTAACCAGCTGTGTGGGTTGCTTTCAAGCTTGAGCTGTCATATTCTGAATGCTTGGAGAAACAGTCCAAACTGCACCATGTGCCCGTGACTCCAACACACTGTTCAGTGACAGTTCCCTCTTCCTGTTGACCATTGCATGGACCAGGCTCACACAGCCAAGAGATACTGTTGTAGTCCCCCCCCCAAAAAAAAAACAGCTTTACATCAGCTGTTAAGACACTGAACCCCTTCCAAGTACTATTGCTTGAAGAGCTGTACAGACATGCGTTTATGTTCACAAAACTAAACGTAGTGGAGAAGAAAGTACACCCACTTACACGATCAGCAAACGGCCCCTGTCTGAACGCGGATGATCTTCAGTCGGCATTTGCAAAAACCTTAATGTTTCCAGCTTTGTCAACCATGAAAATGGTCAATACATCCAAATGTGAGATTGACTCTAATGCCAGGTATAGTGGCGTATGTTTTTGATCCCAGTACTGAGGAGGCAGAGGCACATGAATCTCTGTGAGTTTGAGGCCAGCCTGGTCCATATAGTGAGTTCCAGGCCAACCAGGGCTACATAGAGAGACCCTGTCTCAAAAAGAAAACAAATAAACAAACAAAAGTAACTCACTCAGATGTTCTCAATAAATAATACAGAATACAATTAATAAATTTGGTTACTTCTGGGGATTGGGCTTGAGAACTGGAGAGGAGGAAAAAGTCTTTCATGTTTGTGTTTTTCACAAAGCATATAAACTATAGTGCTAAAATATAAAAGTAATGCTAAGTGCATGTGTATAAAAAGGGTATATAATTCTTTTAAAATTTAATTTAAAAAGTAAATCAGTGGAGGCTGGAGAGTTGGCTCAGTGTTTAAGAGCAGGTTGCTCTTCCTGAGGACCCGGGTTCAATTCCCAATACCCACATAACAGCTTCCAACTACATATAACTCCAGTTCCAGGGAATCCAACACCCTCCCCGGGTCTCTTTGAGCATAAGACATGTATGTAGTGCACGAACATACATGCAGAAAAACACCCACTCACACATACACACAAAATAAATTTTTAAAAAATAAAATGTGGGGAGGTGGTGGCACACACCTTTAATCCAGCACCTGGGAGGCAGAGGCAGGAGGATCTCAGTGAGTTTGAAGCCAGCCTGGTCTGCAAGGTGAGTTCAGGACAGCCAGGACTGTTACACAGAGAAACCCTGTCTTGAAAAACCAATAAAGTAAAATAAAATAAAACAAAAATTTTTTTTCTGAGACAAGGTTTCTCTGTGTAGCTTTGGAGCCTGTCCTGGAACTCGTTCTGTAGACCAGGCTGGCCTCGAACTCACAGAGATTCCCATGGCTCTGCCTCCTGAGTGCTGGGATTAAAGGCGTGTCTACCACTGCTTAGTCTATGGCCATACCACTCTGAAGGAACCTGATCTCGTAAAATGTTGTTAAGATGGCCTGGCTTACTGAAGGAAGCCAGAATCCCCACACTCAGGAGGTGTGGACGAGGAAAATGAACAGTTCAAGGCCAGTCTCAGTACACAGGTAATTCTACATGGTCAGGGCTACTTGTATCAAGCAGAAACAAAACAAACCCGTTTAAACCTCCCCAACGTATCAAAGAACCAAAAAGACCACAAAGAGTTAAACAGGCCAACATGTAACTAAAGCCCTGTGGGTAAGGAGACCTGAGCAGATCCTGCTGTGAGATCATTTGTTAGACAAGGGGACACTGAGCTCTGCTCGTGGCTCCCCGCAGGGCTGAGGGAAGGTTTGAAGGATGAGTCCCATTCAAAGCGTGCAAGTGTGCAGACACTTTGTTTCAAACGTGGAACAGAAGTAAACCTGCTCTGTCTGACCGTCCACAGCGGAGCACAAATGAAGTCTCAGGGGCGGGGACAAGTGAAGAGAGGTCGAAAAGAGAAACAAAATGTGACCAGGACACTCAAGTCACCAGCGAGCTCTCTTATTCATGAGCACTCCAAACTACATCACCTGTGA